GGCCGAGGCTGAGATTTAACTGCTCTGATCTTTTGATAAGTTTGCAATCCACTTGTATGGCTACAGCTGTCCATAGACGGATCCAGTTTTGGCCATTTCCTGCTAAATCGGCCAAAATTTGGTCCATGTAGGGTTGCCACCTGTACGGGATTCACCTTGACAGTCTGGGTTTTGAAAGCTGTGTCCGGGTTTCATGGCAGCTGAGACCCGGACACATGAAACAGGGGCCACCAAAATTAAGATAGGGGCTACTGGCCCCCCACTGAAAATAGTCTTGACTGTGATATTTACATATGAATGGGCGGCGCTATTTACATATGAATAAGCCGCGACTCGTTCTCCAAAAAATCTCTAGAGTGTTTGGGTTTCGCTGAAAGAAAAGGTGGCAACCCTAGGTCCATGGGTCTGCTGGTACCCGCCACCTTGGCAATAAGCATTTTTTTAATTGACCTTCATTAAAGTATCTGGGTGGAAATGTATTGACCAAACAGTGACTGCCACCGATCGCCAGATTGGTACAATACAAGAGCCAGCAGGGAAGATTCCTCCATTCATGGGCTTTAGCATGCAAGGCGGGATTGTTCTCATTCAGCCGCTTACAGTGCATGGCCAGCACAACGCTACAATCCGGATGTATGACAACCCTGTCATAGAAGAAAAGACCAATGGGAAAAAGTTTTATAAATTAACCCCTTAGGGTTGACTGCCTCACAACCTTTGCTGGAAGTCCATTCCGAGCATGAGCTACTCTTTTGGTAAAGTAATTTTTCTTATGGTTAGTTTGCATTTTTTTGCATTATCAAGGCCCAAATCTCCATCCCAATTCTAGCTAATTCTGGCTTCAGTAGAGTCTGGCCTCAAGGAGTTTGGTTGGCCCTCTGTGTTGTAAGAGACGACCGCCAAAAACAGACAGACCAGATGCTAGAGCAGAGATGGTCAGAACTCAGCTTTGGCCTCGCTTTAAAGCCCACTAATGAGGTCAGGTAAGGAAAGGTGTGCACAGCATAGACCTGAGCCGCAGAGCTGACTTTTGGATATTAAACTTTTTTCAGAACTGTGCTCGTCTCCGGTCCTGATCTACGCTGGCCGAGTGTGTGAGGTCCCGTACAATAAACATGGCAATGGCACTGATGAGGGAGGTGACACAGTGGCGCATTTTCATCACAGAGCCTCTGATTTCTGATCTGCTTCACACAGCCGCCTCCCCCAATCTGTCATCTCCGGGGACACAGATGTCGCTGACAGATGACTGAGCCTTGTGACCAGGAAATACGCACTTCACTTGTTACATCAGTGTACATACCGCCGTCACATCCGTATACATACCGCGCTACATCAGTGTACATACCACCGCCACATCCGTATACATACCGCCACATCCGTATACATACCGCGCTACATCAGTGTACGTACCACAGCCACATCCATGTACATACCACCGCCACATCCGTATACATACCGCCACATCCGTATACATACCGCGCTACATCAGTGTACATACCACCGCCACATCCGTATACATACCGCCACATCCGTATACATACCGCGCTACATCAGTGTACATACCACCGCCACATCAGTGTACATACCACCGCCACATCCATGTACATACCACAGCCACATCCATGTACATACCACAGCCACATCCGTATACATACCGTGCTACATCAGTGTACATACCACCGCCACATCAGTGTACATACCACCGCCACATCCGTATACATACCGCCACATCCGTATACATACCGCGCTACATCAGTGTAGATACCACAGCCACATCAGTGTACATACCGCCACATCCGTATACATACCGCCACATCCGTATACATACCGCGCTACATCAGTGTACATACCACCGCCACATCCGTATACATACCGCCAAATCCGTATACATACCGCGCTACATCAGTGTACATACCACAGCCACATCCATGTACATACCGCCACATCCGTATACATACCGCGCTACATCAGTGTACATACCACCGCCACATCCATATACATACCGCGCTACATCAGTGTACATACCACAGCCACATGCATGTACATACTGCCACCACATCAGTATACATACCACCGTCACATCAGTGTACATACCGCCGCACCATCAATGTACATACCACTGCTACATGCACATACCGCCGCAACATCAGTGTACATACCATCGCCACATCCATGTACATACTACATACCGCCGCCACATCCCTGTAAATACCACCGCCACATCCGTGTACATACCGTGCTACATCAGTGTACATACTGCCACCACATCCGTGTACATACCACCGCCACATCCGTGTACATACCGCCGCCACATCCCTGTACATACTGCCACCACATCCATGTACATACCGCCGCTACACCCCTGTACATACCACTGCCACATCCGTGTACATACCGCGCTACATCAGTGTACATACTGCCACCACATCCGTGTACATACCACCGCCACATCCGTGTACATACCGCCGCCACATCCCTGTACATACTGCCACCACATCCGTGTACATACCGCCGCTACATCCCTGAACATACCACCGCCACATCCGTGTACATACCGCCGCTACATCCGTGTACATACCACCGCCACATCCGTGTACATACCACCGCCACATCCGTGTACATACCGCCGCTACATCAGTGTACATACTGCCGCTATACTTGAAGCTGACACCTTTTTTCTTCATGATACAGGGTGAGGCTCCGCCTCCCCTGATCGCACGCCCCTGGTGTTCAGTAGTCCACAGAGAGAACTGGGAGCAATGTAACTGATAAGAGGAAACAGCCGATTAAGGTTGCAAAACAGCAGCCTGCAGGGAGAAGAACCCTTCGATTCAGGAAAAGGGGGGGTTACCGTGTTTCATCTTGCACCCTAATATAACAATGGCGGGTCCTTGGAGTAAAGCTTTTCTATATAAAGTGTAACTCTCGCCAGGAAGTGAGGGGGAAATCCCTCGAACGGAGCCCCGGATAGCAGTAAAACTTGGCAGGGGGTCTAACCTTTGTCCATTCTACCCAAAACCAAAAGAAAAGTTCGGGGTGTAGACACACTTTAATTTGGTGGAATGTTCTCGGATCGGCACTCAGTGTATACAACCTCCGGAATTTCTGCAGATTTGCAGCGTGTCAGCCGGTGACAGACGGTCAGGGGCTTTGCTCTGGGCGCATTGTTTTCAGCGGGGCTGAATCTGCATGTTTTGTCACAGCGTGGGACAAAGCTCTCCCTTGTTTTCTGGAATGTGTCCTCGTTGAAAACTATGAGGACGTGGAGAGGTGGGGGGGGGTCAGATGACTGCGACAGCGCTGGCCTCCTATTCTTCCTGACTTCAGAGTGTGACCACGCTGTCACACGTATGCAACTCTGCAAAGAACAGGCCTCTGATTGGGGTAAATATGTAAGCCGATGCCGGCTGCTGAGTCCCTGGGACTGTCCCGGGTTCTCTGATACGATTCTGTCAATTAAAGTCCAATTAGAGTTTGTGATTAACTTCATGGGGCTCATTTATTAAAGATCAGCTCAATGGTGCGCACACATAACTAATTCCCCTAGATGGCGCTGGCGAGTATACAAAATTCCTCCACTCTTCAGCGCCACCTAGGGGATTTCTTTTATTAATGAACCCCAAAAGTGTATGTAAACCCCAACAATCTTGCCAGAAATCCAGTGCTGCACTATGCACTCTGCAGTGTTATCTCAAGCACTTTTATCAACCCTTCCTTGTTCACCTGTGTAAACTACAGAACACCTCCCCTCTATATGTGGAGACGTAACTAAGACCTTAGGACCCCGGTGCAAGAAACCATGAAGTCCACTTCCCCCCTACCCACCTTGGCGCCTCGGTGGTTACCAGGCCCGGGCCCTCTTTTTCCTTTCTGCCCCCCCAGGTGGTGGAATGCCAGAACCTGTGACCCTGTTAGTTCCGCCAGTGCCTCTATGTTATTTACATGAGAGAGGGAAGTGTGGCAACGCTGGTGCTCCATAGATACCCTAGAGGAGTGAGCGTTGTCACCCGTGGACAGGAAGTGTGTTACTGGCAGGATCAGCAGGTGAAAATAAAAGGGAAAAAAGCCTGAAAATAAAACTAATGCAGATACCGCATCTAAGGACGGGCAAGCAGAAAAATATTACATTATATTTCTCACTTTAAAGTAAAACCAATCTCTAAAATCTTATATAAACTTTCCCAAGTTGCTGTCATTTTAAAAGTCATTCAAAATCTGCACCATTCATTAAATTAATGCTTGATGGCCCTTATTCCGGCACTTCCCGTTATAGGGTGACAACACTCTGCCCCTGTCTCCTAATTGCGCTCTTGTGTTGTCCCCTGAAGGAGACTAGATATCTAACCACGCAAAAAAAAATTGTTTCGATTCAGATTTTTATTTCTTTCGTTTTTCGCATTTCGGATCCGCTCATCAAATTCTTTTTTTTTCTTCTCGGAACGAACCCATGTGACCTTGCCTGTAATGCAACCCCCAGCAGCCAAAAAACACATCTGATTGGCCAAGAGGACAGTCACATGTCTGATTTAGTTTCGTTTTGAACGATATTTGGACAGATCCGAATTTTCTTTAAAGGAACATTCTATTTTCTATTATTATTATACAGTGATATTATTATAATAATAATAATTATAATAATAATTATACAGTGACATTATTAAAAAGATGACATTTAATCTTATTTCCTGCTCCATCCTATTATAAATTATAAACAGAAAATAAAATTCCTGACACGAATAATGATCAATTGTAGCGAGTTGCCAATCCGGACAATCACCATGGCTACAATTGATATAAAATAATAACATCGGATCCTTTTATAGAATAAACTGATACTTTGTAACAATCAGCCGGAACACGCGCGGCAGGTGCAGCACTAGCCCCGCCCACTGGGTTTTCCTCCCCTCCTCTACAGGCACGGTTTTCCTCCTTCTGGGCGTGGTTTGGGTGTGGCGGCCCTGCCCTCGTGCTCCTAGGCCCCTCCCGTACGTCGTGACGTAGCACGCAGAGTGAGGGCAGAGCGGCAGTAGCAGCGATAGGCGGCCTCAGTCATTCGACTCAGTGAGGGGTGGAGGAGCTCCGAGAGAAGCCTCGTCTGGAGCTGGAGGGCCACCAGATAGGTAATGTGGGAACGCTGAAGAAAGAGCTGGTACTCTGCTGCTGCTGCTGCCGCCGTTGCCGGCATGTCTTGCGTGGTGCGGAGCATGCTGGAAGTTGTAGTGCCCCTGGGCTGAGCAGATGTTCCGCAGCCTGTGGGGGGGGGGGACTACATGTCCCAGCATGCCTTTGGGGTAACGGCAGCTAGAGCAGGGTGCCGGGTACAGCTTGCCATCCTCCCTGTGCAGCAGTCTGGAGATCTTGTTGCCCCTAGCAACCTGTTCAGCTTCCAGCTGTCAGCGCTATGCCGGGGTCTGAAAAATAAAGCAAGAATGCTGATTGGCTGCTTTGGGCAATGAGATATTTTCTCCTGACCACACTTGTCTCTATCTAGATTTTGGTATTATTTTAGCAGCCACGGCGATGAGTTTCCATTGACAACAGCGGGAAAAATGCATCAGCTGTATTTTTAAAGGGCCAGTGTCTGCTCGATTCCTCACTTGTCCTGCCAAGGGAAGCTGTGTGACTTCAGTTAGAGGTAAACCGTAACTGAGTGACGTTTTGTGTGCTCTGCGCCCATGGAATCCTGTTTTCACCATCTTTGTATCTTCTGCTGGTCCCCTCTGGCCTCTGCAGCCAATTCCGGTTGACATGCACTGGACCGGCCTCCTAAGAACGATAGATCATGCCTGCGGAATGTGTGTGTGTGTGTGTCGGCATGGCTGCCTTTGCTCTCCTCCAGGGAAGCCAATGATAGGGGGACAACGTAGTTGCACAGTTTATTACACACATTGTCACCTTATTACAGGAAGTGGCTGAACAAGGACCTTTGTGGTGGGATCACCAGATATCACTTTAATGGCAGATTTACAGTATCACGAAAGGCAAAACTTCCTTTTTTTTTTTTTTTTTTTATTATAGATTTGGTGAGAGGAAAGAACCACTGCCAGGTTTTTATGGCCCCATTAAGAAGATCCACCCACTAATTGTCCTGTTCACCGGGATTGAAAATGAGGGTGAATCCCAAATTTTCAATGGCCACCAGTACAGGAATAGAGGGGGAAATCTTCTGGTGGGGACACTTGTTCTGGTGACAACTAAGGGAGGATTTCCCTCACATTGGAAAGATATCCTCTCACTTCCTGTTGAGTCTGCAAGACAGGCAGTGGAGGGAAAATTTCCTAATGACACACAGATGGGACCCCCGCCCCCCCCTCCAAAAATGTTCAATGTCCACCAGTACAGGAATAGAGGGGGAAATCTTCTGGTGGTGGCATTTGTTCAGGTGACAACTAAGATGGGATTTCCCTCACATTAGAAAGATATCCTCTCACTTCCTGTTGTGTCGACAGGACAGGAAGTAGAGGGAAGTTTCCTTAATGACACACAGGCCTCACAAAAATAACAGTTAACCCCTCCCCCTACTCTGATCAAAATGTACAAAGTTTTGGTTTTAGATATTCATTAAAAAGATAAATCACTTTTCAAACAAAGTTTTTCGCTTTATAAGTTGAACTCGATGGACTCTTTTTGTACATAAGTTTCCTTTAAACCTATTCAATCAATTTTTTTTTTTTATTAAATCGGCACTTTTTTCATTAGAATAACATTAGGTGATCCTGCCATGACGATCCTTGTTCAGGCACTTCCTGTTATAGGGTGACAACTCTCCTGCGTTGTCATCACATGGGCTTCTGACAGAGGCTACAAGAGTCCGTTTTCATCCCGCAGTACACGGGCATGGCCCACCTGGCCGTGCAGCCCTCGCCGGGGGGGGCATGTAGACAGGAAGTGGCCGCAGGAGATCACCAGCACTGAGGCGTAACAGAGGAAGAAAAGAAAGTGAAAACAAAGTTTCTTATTTTGAAGAAAAGCGGAGTTGTTAATGATACGGCAAACTCAGTGACATTCAGTCAGGATTTACTTTATGATGATACATACACTATATTGCCAAAAGTATTGGGCCCCTCCCCCTCCAAATCATTGTATTCAGGTGTTCCGATCCCCTCCATGGCCCCCGGTGTATAGGATGAGGCACCTCGGCATGCAGACGCTTCTACAGACATTGGTGAAAGAACGGGTCGCTCTCAGGAGCTCAGTGACTACAAGCGTGGTACCGTGATAGGTTGTCACCTGCGCAATAAGTCCATCCGTGACATTTCCTGGCTACTATATATTCCGCGGTCACCTGTTACTGGGATTATAACAAAGTGGAAGCAACTGGGAACAACAGCAACTCAGCCAGGAAGTGGTAGGCCAAGTAACATGACAGAGCGGGGTCAGCGCATGCTGAAGCGCACAGTGCGCAGAACTCGCCAACTGTCTGCAGAGTCAATAGCTACAGATCTCCAAACTTCGTGTGGCCTTCAGATTGGCACAACAGTGCGTAGAGAGCTTCATGGAATGGGTTTCCATGGCCGAGCAGCTGCATCCAAGCCGTACATCACCAAGTGCAATGCAAAGCGTGGGATGCCGTGGTGTAAAGCACGCCGCCACTGGACTCTAGAGAAGTGGAGACGTGTTCTCTGGAGTGACCAATCACGCTTCTCTGTCTGGCAATCCGATGGACGTGTCTGGGTTTGGCGGTTGCCAGGAGAACGGTACTTGCCTGACTGCACTGTGCAAGTGTAAAGTTTGGTGGAGGGGCTTATGGTGTGGGGTTGTTTTTTCGGGGGTTGGGCTTGGCCCCTTAGTTCCAGTGAAGGGAACTCTTAAGGCATCAGCACACCAAGACATTTTGAACAATTTCATGCTCCCAACTTTGTGGGAGGAGTTTGGGGACGGCCCCTTCCTGTTCCAACATGACTGCACACCAGTGCACAAAGCAAGGTCCATAAGACATGGATGGGGGAGTTTGGGGCGGAGGAACTTGACTGGCCGCACAGAGTCCTGACCTCAACCCCATAGAACACCTTTGGGATGAATTAGAGGCGGAGACTGCGAGCCCGGCCTTCTCCAACATCAGTAACTGACCTCACAAATGGTCCAACATTCCCATAGACACACTCCTAAACCTTGTGGACGCCTTCCCAGAAGAGGTGAAGCTGTTATAGTGGCAAAGGGCGGAGCCAACCCAATACTGAACCCTACGGACTAAGACTGGGATGCCATTAGAGTTCATGTGCGTGTAAAGGCGTCCCAATACTTTTGGCAATATAGTGTATGTGACAGATTTTAGTATTTGGGGTTTATTATAATGAGCAGCTGATGTGAGTTTTCTGTATTTTCTAAATATATCTCCTCCGGCTCCTGAGAAATCTTTTTTTTGTCCCCTGAGATCCGGCTGATGGATGGTGGGCCCCTGAATGTTGCACTGAGATATTTATATGGGTCTCCATGATGAATATCGTGTTGTTTATAGAAGTTTGTGACCCAAATTGTCTCCGGTGGAGAGAGATCCCAGGGACAGAAAGTGAACGCCGGCTAGCGATGTGTCACTTGTGTTCACTGGTCTGCGGCCTATAAAACTGGAGGACGGACTAGAATGTCACCTGTAGCCATCTCTGGGGACCGGAAAACAAATCACGTGTTTACTTTTTGCTGATGATGCGTGAGCGGCCCCTGGGTACTCGCTGTGTCTTTTGTTGCTGTGCTTGTGACGTACGGCGCACTTTCTGTAATCTGTATGTGCGTCCTGCCAACCTGCGGCTGCTGAGACTGCAAATTCCAGGCTGGTGGCTAGCGGTGTGCATCCTCCTGTGTCGTCCGAAAGCCGTGGGGTTTGGAGGTCCTTCTTTTGGGAGGTATGCCACGTATTGTACCCGGAACAAAGTCTTGCATTTTGCTCTATGGGTGGCATGGGAAGAGGTGAGGGGCAGAGAGCAGGAGTGAGGGGGAAGAGGGGGTCAGAGAGCCAGTAAGAGATGCAGAGAGGAGGAATGAGAGAGATGAGGTGCAGAGAGGAGGGATGAGGTGCAGAGAGGAGGGATGAGGTGCAGAGAGGAGGGATGAGGTGCAGAGAGGAGGAAGGAGAGGGATGAGGTGCAGAGAGGAGGAATGAGAGGGATGAGGTGCAGAGAGGAGGAATGAGAGGGATGAGGTGCAGAGAGGAGGAAGGAGAGGGATGAGATGCAGAGAGGACGAACGAGAGGGATGAGGTGCAGGAGCTAGAGGGTCTAGGTACGAAGAGCAGGGGTGAGGGGCAAGGACTGAGGGGCACAGGGGGCAGAGAGCAGGGGTAAGAGTAGAGGTGAAAGGGGCATGAGGTGCAGAGAGCAGGCGTGAAAGGGGCAGGGGTGAGAGGGTCAGAGAACAGGGGCTGGAGCGAGGTGCAGTGAGCAGGGGTGCCATATGCAGAAAGGAGGGGTAAGGGGCAGGAATGAGAGGGGCAGAGAACTGGGGCTGAGAGAGGAACGAGGTGCAGGGGTGAGAGGGGCAGAGGGCAGCGGTGAGAGGGTCAGAACAGGAGCTGGAGCGAGGTGCAGTGATCAGGGGTGCCATAAGCAGAGAGCAGGGGTGAGAGGGTCTAGGCGAGGGGTAAGGAGCAGGGGTGAGAGGGGCAGAGAGCAGGGGTGAGGTGCAGAGGTGAGAGGGTCTAGGCGAGGGGGAAGGAGCAGGGGTGAGAGGGGCAGAGAGCAGGGGTGAGAGGGGTGAGGTGCAGAGAGCAGCGTGAGGGGTTAAGTAGAGACAGAAGGAGTGCAGCAGATCATAATTTACTCTGCTCATTATATATCTGTTCTAGATCAATTCATTGATCGGTTGCTCCGGGTTACTGTACTTTGCCCTTCCTCATTGCTATGGGCTTGTCGATTTGATAAAGGAGGGGGGAAGTTGTCCTGTATAAGAATTTTAGTTATGCCGCCTGAGCTGAGCTAGTTTTGCTCAGCGTCGTCCTTATAGCACAAAGCTTTGATCTCCGATCTGGTGCACCGATTCGATGCGGATGTGCGGAGTGCCGGCTTTCAGCGTCGTGTGATCAGTGAGCGATGAATTCTGATTGCTCCGAGTTGATTATTTTTACTCTGCATTGTTGGCACAGCTTGACGCCGCCACAGAGAGGTTTGGGCCATTTTGCGGTATGGAT